GTATGGATTACAAAGGTGTATGCATTTATTAAACTCCACTTTAACTTTCCGTGTTTCATTGTAGGTAAACTTTGCCTCAAAAAATAAACTGTAAACAAATACTGAAGTATAGTTGATATGCATGCTGAAGTATTTAGGGAGAATATCAATGCCTGCAATTCACTTTGAAATGCCAACAAAGATGAATTGACAGGTGGATAGAGGGATGGATAGATGGATAACAAAATAAACCAAGTAAAATGCTAATGATAGAATTAAGGACTGCACTCATTCAGTATAAAATTCTTTCAATTTTGCTGTATATTATAAATTATATGACTGGGCATGGTGGCTCACGCCTGTAATCCTAGCATTCTGGGAGGCCGAGGTGGGAGGATCACTTGAACTCAGGAGTCTGAGACCAGCCTGAGCAAGAGTGAGACCCAGTCTCTACTAAAAATAGAAAAAATTAGCCAGGTGTGGTGACTTGCACCTATAGTCCCAGCAACTTGGGAGGGTGAGGCAGGAAGATTGCTTGAGCCCAGGAGTTGAGGTTGTTGAGCTAGGCTGACATCACGGCACTTTAGCCTGGGTGACAGAGCAAGACTCTGTCTCAAAAATAAAAAATATAAATAAAATTATACAACAAAATATTGATACACTATATTACGAATAATGATATACCAATAAATTTGACAATTCGGATGAAAAATGGACAATCTCCTCAAAAACTTAACTTATCTAATATAATGGCTTAAAATACTCCACAAATTCTTTGGCACTCCTTCAAAATGTGAAGCCTAATTCCCCTCCCCTTGGATATGGGCTAGACTTAATAACGTCCCTCTACTGAATAGGAAAAAGTAAAAGTAGCAGTTGCAACTTCAGAGATTAGGTCATGAAAGGCACCACGGCTTCCTATTTGCTTTCTTTCTTGGATCATCTGTTCTGGGAAAACCAGCTGCCATGTCACGCTACGGAGAGATCCATGTGATAAGGAAGTAAGGCCTGCTGTCAACACCCAGCCAGAAATCGAAACTCCCAGCCAATAATCACTGAGTGAGTGTGGAAATAGATCCTGCAACCCAGTTAAGCCTTTAGAAGTCTGCAGCCCCAATCAACATCTGACTACAACCTCACAAGAGACTCTGAGCCAGAACAACCCAGCTAAGCTGCTCCTAAATTTCTGATCTACATAATCTTTGGGATAATAAATGTTTTTGTTTTGTTTTATTTTGTTTCAATCCCTAAATTTTTGTATAATTTTTTATGCAACAATAGAAAACTAATGCACTTAAGCTAGCACAAGAGAAACTAGAAAATCTGAATAGTTAAATATTTACTAAGTAATTAAATCCATTGCGAAAACCTCCAAAGAAAATCCCAAGACTAGATGGTTTCACCTGTAAATTCTTCCAAATATTTAGTGAAGAATTAATACCAATATTGCATAAACTCTCACAGAGAAAGAGGA